AACTAAATGCAAGACCAAATTGAAGTTAGGCAAGCACAAATCTTTATCGCTTCAGATGGCTATCATGAAAGATAATGAATGACATTAGCACACTGATCTGTAACAGTGTGCCATTGTCATTTATTACGTCAGTGATGTGGTTCGTGAAAGACACTTTGCACTTTTAGAATGTTATTCAGGAAAGGAGGAAAAAACTGTTTGAAATAGTGCAAGAAACGTTGAGTAAGCTTAATTTGGGCATTTCAAACTGCCTTTCTGTTAGTACGGATATTCGTCTTATATGAGTGAAGAAATATGTGGTTAGAGCAAGCTTCGTCCGTTAACATATACATTTGGTGCTATGCGCACGTGTTAAGTCTTGTAATACGTAACCTTACACAATGCAATATTAATTTACATGTTTCATTCTTTAGTTTCCTTCAATCATGCGCCATGTTCTTCAGGAATTATTCGAACGTTGATTCGTTTAAAAAGCAAATGGTTGAAGATGAATGCAAAGCAGCATCAAACTTAAACACTTACAAACCATTGAGGCCACCGGTAGTAGTCAAAAGATGGTTTATCTAGAATGGTTGACGTTTTTGACGAGCTTTTTAGTTCTTTTCTATGAAGTTGTTGGAGCACTAGACGAGATTTCAGTAAACCCCAAAATGAAAGCTACTTATATGATGAAGCTCAAACACCTAAATACAATGCTGAAATATGAAAACGTACAGTAGATATTTATAAGAAGCCTTTTCAAGAAATCATGAAATCATGCCCTTATCAATTACTTTCACTTCAAACTTCAAACTTACATTAGTTCTAGAAATTATTAAAAGTATTCGTTCTTGTCTCGTAACTTACAACATATTCTAAATGTGTCTAAAATCGGTTTATTCAAATTCAAAATGAACGTTTATCTGAAAGAAACATGCCATTAATCCAGATCAGTTTCTAAGAGAATATACGGATACGATAAAAAAAGATACTGGATGGAGAATTGTTATGAGATGAGCCTCGCCAAACTAAAGCTAACTGATTTCAAGTGGAAACGTTCAACGTCATTTTGGACACTTGCCAGCAGTATGGAGAAACTCGTTTCGGAAAGCATGAAAAACTGTACTTTTGGACTTATAACGTAGCAAGTAGAAAGATTTCCCGAATCCAAAGAGTGCCTTAAAAATGTCAAGCTTGATTTCACAACCATTTCTTCGATGTTTCGAAAAATTCTAACTGCTACGAAAGTGAAAATGTCAGATTAGTTCTCGTCGAACAGCTAACTGATTTCGTCAAAAAGTATCCATAACTACTGAAAATAATATTTCGGACACCTGCTTGTTGACACTTCTCTAGTCACAGACGAATTCGACGTTGAAGAGTTAACAAATGCTGACGACTCTTTAGGTTCAGAATCTGATTTCGAAACCGAAAACGAAAAGAATGAACAAACATTTACCAGCAAATCATCAAAAACAAAGAAACAAAAACAAATTCTGCAAGAATTGTGCAGTAGCAAGTCCTTCGACGTATTATATCTATCATATAAAATATTACTTATTTTCTCAAGTTAAACTGTCAATTACTTCTATGCAATTTAATTTTAATGCAATAAATGTAAATAATTAATCAACGACTATAAAAAAATTAAAATTAAAGTATAATAGTAGATAGATAACTTTACATAAAAGTAAACATGTTTAAAGGTGTTTCTTAGTCTGTTATTGAGGTTATAATAAGTTTGATCATTTTTCTCCTTTTATATTACATTTTAAACATAAATAGACCTAATAGAAATAATTTATAATAATTTTAAAATCGATAATTGTATACAATTGATGTATTTTCTTGTGGAAAATCGATATAATGACGACTTTTTAAATTGATTACTTGTTTGTTTTATATATATCATTATGAATATTTAATCATGCACAATACATTTCTCATTAATCTCGAGAAGTGTTTCATCGATTTTTCAAATTAGGAAAATTAAACTGCAATTGGAAACTATTATTTATCGTGCAACTTGTAACCCCAAAAAAAACTATTTTCTTTGTCATAACTAAACTAAATTTTTCTTTATTATAGTTTAACACGCATTATAATATAAGATTGTTAATATAAAATATCAGTTAATGTAGGCTTCAGTCTGTTGAAGATTTAAACACAGTTTAATCTGTTGTTTTATTAAATGTCACAAGAGACAGAGACGATGCCGTAATATAAAACAGTGGTACATCTATGTATCATGTAAGGGGGGCATCGAGAATAAGTTTATGTATAAAATTACTCTTTTAGATAAATTTAATTTAATTTATGCACACAAAAATAAATAAATTAGCAAAGAATTACTTTATATTCGCTTATTTAATGTGTGATAATAACATTAATATGTTTACAATTTTTATTGAAAAATGTATTGATTTTATTATATTTACATCTTCAAAATATTATTATTATTTTTATTTATTTTTTTTAATTATTATCTGAACAAGAATTACAATTTGTAAGACACAAAATTAATCAATTAATAAGTAATTTCTTCTACGATTTCTTGGATTAAATCAACTTTTCAACTAAAAAATTAATAATTTATTATGAAGATTCTTTTTTTTTAATTTTTATTATAAAAATAAACACTTTCGTTTACATTATTTTCTCTCATTCGTAAGTCTTTCTTTAATTAATTGAAGACTTGTATCTCATGATTTTAATTCTGGATTCTTCGACTTTTTTTTTTTATTTGTATCATACTTTTATATTTAAATTAAATGAAATCAGATATTCATATTCTAAAATATTTTTAAGTCTAGAATAATTTGAATTTAAAAAAATAATTAATTATTTAAAATGCCTGTTTTATAAGACAATATCATAAATCAAGTCATGTTTTCTCTGTGTATTTTCAATTTTTTTTTTGTAATTAATTCTGATAGAAAATAGAATAAAATAATTGTCATTCATATTGTAAATTCTTTTTTTTTTCTTAATTTTAAATCCAGTTTTGAAATGATTTAATGGTATATTTTCATGTTTACTGATAATAAGAATATTGTAAAATGAAATAAACCTGAGTAGAAAATACATCTAAAAACAATGTAACGTATTGAAATCGTATAACTGAATAAAATTAAACAACCTTAACATCTGGAAAAAAATAAAATAAAGAAATAATAAATAGATCAATGCATTGGGAATTGTGACGTGATAATTATAATTAAAAAATGATTTATTTTGTTTAAAAATAATAATGGTCAGGTCAATTTTTTTTTAATTTACAATATGATACACTCCTGTTTTAACGTTTAAATTTGTTTAATTATATTTATATTTATTTTATTTTTAATTTTTATATTCCATATCGTATGCATAGACAGATCTTTATATACTTTTAAAAATATAGTGTAGACTACATGCAATATTAATGTAATTTATTATTTTTTAAATATTTTATACCAGAATACTTACACGTAATTTGGTATATACATTTATATCTGTATATAAATCTGATACAATTATACAGTAATATAATTGTATCAGATAAGTAAAAAGTAAATAATATAAGTATGTTGATGAAATTTAGGCCTATTCTAGTTTTTCTATTTGCTGAAATCTGTTATATAAGTATAGAATATATTGATTGTAAGTATAGAAAAA